TGGTCATGGAGCACATGTCCAACTCTGGCATGCCAGCCAGTTTGGTTCGACATCAAGTCGCCACAACCGGTGCAGAGGAGTGAGGTACGGCTTTCTAATTAATTACAGTTCAGTAGCAACAAGTGCAGAATTTAATCTGTATGTTGGGTGTGTGGTCACGCTGTAACTGTCGCTGGGGCCTGTCACCTGTGGTTTGATCGTCGCGAAAGATTACGTGCCCAAATTAAGGATGTCGGGTCGAGAGTGCTGAACCGTCAGATTTAGGACCTTCGAAATATCCAACAGTTCCCCCTCCCTCCTCCTTACAAGGCAAAGACGCTACACCGATTAAAGTTGGCCCAGAATATAAGTTGGCCTAGCTTCAATACAAAAAACATTACTGACTATAACATGAAAATGTTGAGTTACTAAGTAAGAGTAAGCTTAGGTTTTAGGTAGGGCCTAGGCTTAGTAGCCTAGGCCTAGGGGAAGTCGAGGAGGTTGTGCCAAGGTGAGAGTCGAGAATGGGAAAAGTGATGTTCACTATAGCACTAGGGTACATATAGTAAACAGAGCATGCAAAGAAGGTGCACCACCAACAGTTTATAATAACTACACTAAACTACAGCTACAGGCAGTTACATATAAATTCTAACACTCCCCCATAACTGCCTGCAGCAGGAGTTTGTGCAGAACACAACCTGCAGGGGTATACCAGCAACAGCAACAGCAGGTACGGTAACAGAGCAGGTACAGCAGCAAAGGGACAGGCGACAGCAAGAAATTCCTGCCACCCCCTTACTCTCTTCCCCCCCCAACCACAGGAGGGGCAGCAGGGAGAGTGAGGAGGCGGGCTGGCTCTGGCTGGTCACCCCCTCCATTTCCTCACCCTCCCCCTCCCCCTCCCCCCCACACTGCTGCAGGAGCAGCAGAGGGGGGAAGAGAGGAGAGGTGGAGGGACGGCTGCTGGTTGGTCTCACACCCGCCACCCCAGTGCCACTCCCCCGGCTCCCCCACACCCTCACACCCTCCCCCCCAGCGGCAGCTGCAGCAGTGGGAACGAAAGGAGGAGGAGGGGAAGGGAAGCACACCACCCATCACCCCAACACCCGCCACCCCCATACCCTCCCCCCCACGGCTGCAGGGAGACGAAGGAGGAGGGGGTGGGCGGGGAGAAAGCCGCAGAGCGGCTACAGAGGGTCGGCGCGGGTAGGTCAGGGGCGGCTGCAGTGAGTGCAGGCGCGGGGTGAGGCAGAGGCGGCTGCACCGAGTGCAGGAGCGGGGGCGGCTGCTCCAAGGGCAGGCGCCGGGTGGTGCAGGGGCGGCTGCAGCGAGTGCAGGCGCGGGTGAGGCAGGGGCACCGCCGAGTGCGCCAGGGGCGGGTACGCGGCGGCTCAGGACACCGTCGCAGGCGCCAGGGGCGGTTCCGCGGCGGCTCAGGGCACCGTCGCGCACCACGGGGCACGTGACGGGCAGTTTAGGGCACCGTCGCATGCCACGGGGCGCACGACGGGCAGGGCACCGTCGCGTGCCACGGGGCGTATGACGGGCAGGGCACCGTCGCGTGCCACGGGGCGCACGACGGGCAGGTTTGGGGCACCGTCGTGTGCCACGGGGCGCACGACGGGCAGGGCACCGTCGCATGCCACGGGGCGCACGACGGGCAGGGCACCGTCGCGTGCCACGGGGCGCGCGACGGGCAGAAAAGATGTCACTCGCCACCCGGTGGCGGGACAGGACGAAAATCGCCACGCGCCCGAGGCGCGCGACCGGAAAAACAGCAGCGGAAGCGTGAGGCGGGCCCACAGGCCAGGACGTAACTCGCTCTAATGCCATGTTGAGTTACTAAGTAAGAGTAAGCTTAGGTTTTAGGTAGGGCCTAGGCTTAGTAGCCTAGGCCTAGGGGAAGTCGAGGAGGTTGTGCCAAGGTGAGAGTCGAGAATGGGAAAAGTGATGTTCACTATAGCACTAGGGTACATATAGTAAACAGAGCATGCAAAGAAGGTGCACCACCAACAGTTTATAATAACTACACTAAACTACAGCTACAGGCAGTTACATATAAATTCTAACAGAAAAGCGAGACACGATCATGTTGAAGCTATTGTAAGGAAATTTACATATCCTAGACATCAAGATTACATTGATTCGTCTTCGGATTTGTTTTCCCAATCTACGCCAAACCACAGTCTCCTTAAGTCCCGGCCTAGGTTTCTTGCTACCCATTTGCATGACAGACCATTTGAGGCAAAGTAGCTGGTACGTATTAACTTAGGAGGCATTAATGAAGCTTGAATCTAAGGATGTGAGTGAGAACGATGGTTAACCCAGCCCCTCCCCCCCACACACGGCATGTCTTCACTGTACTCCTCAAACACACCGTGGTCGGCGTCACTCAGGGCCCTCGCTATCAGACATTTTTGTCTGTTTTTCTGAGGAATAAGACGGATTTTTTTTACGTAATCTGATTTTTAAGAAATGGAACGTTTGGGAAATGTGATGAATAAGATATGAGATTCCATTTTGTCTGATGAAAAAGACGTGCGTGTAGCTATTCCTCTGATTTTCCAGGCACTTGTATCAGTTCCATCTGAAACCAACTTTTATACAGTCTATCGTGATTGGCGCGTGATATGGGTTAGCTGCGCCAATCACAGCACGATTAGTAGACCTGTATGCGTGATTGCGGTGACAGCGCAGCGGAGCGCACTGACAAAAGTCAAGTGCTGGCAATCTGGCGCACGTTTGGCCAACTTGGGCCACATTGAGACGAAAGTGGAGCAAGTCTTTCTGTTACTGGTCCACTTTCACGCCAGCGCATGAGTTGTGTGGATTGCAGAGCCTCACGCGACTCGCACCGACTGTTGCCCAACGTCCCGCTGGACGAAGGATGGAGTGGGGCACCGCGGTGCATTGTAAGATCATGCATGCACCTCGTTCAGTTGATAATGCTCGGCTGGCTCCCCCTCCCTCTCCAACGCTCCTTTCACTCGCTAGCACAGGGGAATTCTTTCCCCTGCTCTCTCTACCGTCTTGACAACATCCTCCTAGGGCCCTGTAGCCATGGATTGTAGGGACGATGATGACCCTGCTAGGTCGCATCGTCCACTTACTGGTCTCGACTTTCTGAGAGGCGGTCCGCCTACCGCCACGCCTGAAAGAGATCCGCCTGTGCAGCCCCCAGTTACCAACAACGAACCAACGGCAAGCACGGAGCCCTGGCCGGATTTTAATCAGCGGCAACAGCTGAGCGATCCGCCTGTGGAAGAGTCGCCCACTAGAGCGACCGGGCGCGTCGCAACTCCCACGGTCAGTGCTGTCCGAAGCGCAGGCGTCTCCCGGTTCCCGAAGTTCGGGAAGTTCACTCAATCGACTATTCGGTTTGCTCGAACTCGCGTACCTCATGTGCGCCTCACGCAAAGAAGGTCGCCCTCTCCCGTAGCTGCTGCTACTCCGCTGACTCCAGCGACTGGCACGAGCAGGGTGCCTTCGGATCCAGGGCCGTCCAGGCCGTCTATTTTGGTTCCGGATCCTGACGCGCTTCTCGAAGAACTGAAGAAGAAGTGCACCGATGTCTGGCAACGTCGTTTCCCCTGGCTGCTGATATCACAGAGGAAGGATGGTCGCCCGTGCATGAAGTGCAGTGTCTGCATCAGATACGGACCGCCACACTGGCAGTACGGCAAGGCGGGCGAGGGTGGCGTGGACATCCAGAAGCAGACCATGCGCAAGCATGGTCTGAGTCGCAAGCATCAGGACACCCTCGATCGTAAAGCCCGAGCCGAAGGAGGTAAAGTTTCTCAACGAGGGATTGATGAGTATGAGGACGGGGTGGGGGAGATTGAGCGTTTGAAACAACTTCTATTAGTGGTGTTTTTCATATGCAAGTCGGATGCACCTATTGCGCTCTTTGTTGGCCTTGTGCACCTGCTACACGTTCTGAAGACCCCCAACATTCCCGACAAGGCCATCGGCACCTACCAGACAGAGTGAGTAATGCAACGTGATGTGATGTTTAGGTACTCATCATCATTGACTTATTGTCGTGCTTTTCATTATGGCAGATATGGGTTTCGGGAGATGACCGAAGCCATGGTGCAGCACTTGAAGGCCCGTCAGATGCGATACATCCAAGAGTCGCCCTTTCTCGGGATTCAGCTCGACGAGTCGACTGATCGGAGGAAGGGCAAGCATCTCATCGTCTACCTAACCTTCATGAAGGAGGAGAAGGCGGTGACCGAGCTTTTCGGGCACCTGACCGTGGAGAAGGGCGACGCTTCATCTCTGCTCGCCGTCTTGCTGGCGCATCTGGACTGCAACGGGGTTGACATGCACAAGATCTCCGGCATCAGCACGGATGGCGCGAACGTCATGCTGGGCAGTCAGAATGGGCTGGTGGTTCAGCTGAAGATGCGAGTTCCGCATCTTGTCGCGTGTCATTGCCTTGCTCATCGGTGAGGTATTTTGCACTTCAAATTTTGCAGTATCGTTGTCAGATACATCTCCCCCTACTCACTTGGTTATTTTTTCCATCATCTAACAGAGAGGCTCTCGCAGCCAAGGATGCCGCGACGAACATCCCCGCCTTCAACATCGTCGACCAAGGGATCCGCGCCATCGCGACCCTCATTGGCGGAAGCTGCGTCGTCCACCAGAGGTTCCACGAGCTGCAAACCGTGATTCACGCCACGAACTTGGAGATGCAGGGGATTTTCGATATTCGCTGGCTGTCGCGGGGCGATGCTGTTTCGAGACTTGTCGCTGTTCTGCCGGCTGCCATAGTGCTGCTCCACGAGAAAGACAGCACGACGTATCACCTGGTTACGAGCCTCAAATTTCATATCTTTCTTTTTTTTCTCGCTGATGTCCTGAAGGAATTGAACGAGCTCAACAAGCGGTTTCAGCGACGATCGGTGAGCGTGTAATTAACGGTCGCCGATTTTGAAATTCGCTCTAGTCCCGAATGTCAGTGATTAACATTGTGTTTGTGCATGATGTCGCAGGTGGACATCACCCGTGTCATGGGGCAGGTGCAAAACACCTGCGAGAAGTTGAACGCGCGCTATGTGGAGTACGGGGTGAACTTCGTGGAGGACAGCGAGCACCTCACTGCCTTCCTCGAAGCGCACTCCCATCCGTCCAAGCGGGTGGTCCAGGTGGAGGGGATGGATGGAGACGGCAACGCCGTCAAACACACCTTCAAGCTGCACGAGCTGGATGCGAAGAAGAAAGAGGATCCCTCGGGTGACGTCGAGTCCTGCGTGTCCCTCGCCACCCTGTTTGCGAAGGAGGTGATCGGCAGGCTACAGTACCGCATGCGAAGCTTGAAGTCCCTCGTTGGGTCCAAGCTATTTCTGCCAGACGCCTATCCGGATGGCGTGAACAAGCGCGACCGTCTGTGCGCGGAGTGGTTCAGCTCCCTTCGCAAGATGTTCAACGCCGAGCAGTGCGCTCTGCCAGGTACGTGTTTTCAAATTCCGCGTTGTCCCTAATCCCTTGTTTGTGTAACGATCCGTCTACATAGTGGGATGCTAACTAGATGTGCTGTGTGTGCTTGCAGGAGTCAAATGGAAGAAGGCCGAGCGGGAGCTTCCACGTTTCACCCGCGTGATGGTGTCACAGTACAAGGATCAATCCTTCCACGTGGCACTTAAGAACATGCTCAGGAGCGGGGATTGGGAGTCTTCTTTCCCCAATCTGGTTCGACTTTGGGTGGCAGTGGCTGTTCTTCCGCTCAGCACTGTGGAGTGCGAGCGAGGGTTCAGTCGCCAAAACGTAATCAAGTCGTGGCTCAGGAACAACCTCTGCAATGCGCGACTCTCCGACCTCATGTGCATCTCCCTGCTTGACTACGAACCAGACTGGGACGACGTGGTGAAGCTGTGGCGCGGGGCAAAGAAGAGGCGCCCTGCCAAAGAAGTCAGTGGAGTGGCAACTGCGAAGCGCAGGGAGGCAGAGACGGAAGCGGCAGGGAGGCAGGGAGACAGGGAGGATCTAGCACCTAACACGACAGCTCAGAAGGCGCCGTCCAATGACGACGGAGAAGCCAAGAGGAAGAAAGCCAAAACTCACATAGTAGATAGCGACAGTGAGGATGAAGGAGTGGATGTGCGTGCAACTGTTACACTGAGTGACAATGAGGCATCTGACTCTGACTCAGATAGCTAGATAGTTATTCTTGATATGTTTCTTTGTAGAGAATAGCTGTAGTAGTAGTTGTAGTTACAGTAGGGACGGGTTACAAAATCTGATTTTTAAGCCAAGTAATGTTAGAATTTCTGATGCGAAAGACAGGGGCGTGAAAAAATTCTGACCAGTCGGGCCCGAAGGGCCCGTCTGACGCCTCAGGGGGGTTCAGAGACTAGCGAGGGCCCTGGCGTCACTGCTGCATTTCTGCGAAGCCAGAACAAACATTTTCTCCGGATCATCACTCCCTCGAACGCCAACCTCACCGTCCCCAACCACACTGCCGCCATCCCCACCGTTTCCAACCCCATAATTGCCCGCCACAGTGTAGTCTGGCATCAGGAAAAGGTCATCCAAGCATGCATCTGGATCCGACACATGCAGGCATGAGTCCATGGAGCACCCACTCATGCTCCCAACAGCCATGCCCATGCTGTCAACCCTACTGAGTTGACGTGTGTTGGACCGACTACTGCTATTCTGGAAGCTAGAGTGTGCGCCAGTGCTCGTGCTGTCACTTGTAAGTGCATGTGCTGTACAATTGGGAAGTATACTCTGATACCCTGCACTTGCACCCAGCCCATGCAGAGTCGTGTGGCCTGTGGGAAGCCCGGTCAGCCCTGGAAGGCTGGGTATGGGAAGGCTGGGTATGGGAGTGCTGCTGCTTCTATAGGGACCGCCGTTGCCCGTATAAGCATCTCGCTGCTGCTGATGCTGCTGCTGCTGCTGCTGCTGCTGCTGCTGCTGCTGCTGCTGCTGCTGCTGCTGCTGCTGCTGCTGCTGCTGCTGCTGCTGCTGCTGCTGCTGCTGCTGCTGCTGCTGCTGCTGCTGATGATGATGATGATGATGATGCTGCCGCTGGTGCTGATGATGATACGGCTCCAGCTGCTGCTGTTGATGTGACTCTGACTGAGGATGCTGGGAAGAAAGCAGAAGGGAGTAACGTGGTTCATCAGCTGCATTCGGTTTGTCACATGCTGTGCTCGGCTTCACTTCCCAGTCATCGCAAGTTGGCCAACAATCTCTGCCACAGTCAGCCACGGCATCATTACCAGCTGGCTCCACCGAACCACTCAACGTACCAGCAACAGGGTTACAGCTACAGGTGGTAACCCCAGGGTTAGTGGTGGTTACTTGGGCAATCGCCAGTGTCGATGGGGTTGACACAGCAGAGACGAATGCCGGTGAGCTGCCAGTATTAAGGATGGGTTGACAAGTCCAGCTGTACATAACCGGCTCGCTTTTCCCGGTGAGTTGGTGAGAGGTGGGCGTTGTGGCAATGTAACCACATGCTGTGGTGCCTACACTTTGGGGCACCGCAGTTTGATTATTGCAAGGGAGCAGGTTAGCAGTAGGGCCTGCAACAAGGGGTTCACACTTGGGTATGCCGGTGGTGGTGACGCCGGTGGTGGTGACGCCGGTGGTGGTTACGCCAGTGGTGGTTACGCCAGTGGTGGTTATGCCAGTGGTGGTTATGCCAGTGGTGGTTAGATTCTCCTGAGGACGAAGGTTTTCCGTGCAGAGGAGAATCGAGGGCGCTTGAGGCTGTTGCTGTTGCTGGTCTTGATGCCGCTGTTGCTGTTGCTGGTCTTGATGCCGCTGCTGATGTTGCTGGTCTTGATGCCGCTGCTGATGTTGCTGCTGATGTTGCTGCTGCTGCTGCTGCGGCGGCGGCGGAAGCGGCGGCTGTTGCTGCAGAGGTTGCTGATGCTGATTCTGCGGATGCTGTTGTTGCTGCTGTTGATAGTGGTACTCCTGGTGTTTCTTCTGTTCTGGTTGTGGCTGCCCCTGCCACTGCTCTGCACTGGGCTGCGGCTGCTGATACTGGAGAAACTGCTGCTGCTGTTGCCCCTGCTGGCAAAGCCTGAGCTCCTGGAAACCCGTGCAGTTGGCATCATGACTCTGCTGGCTCCCGACCGTTGAGGCTGTTGGGTCAATAAGCATGGGGCGAGCTTGATCCGTTTGATCTGTTCGATCTGTTTGAGTATACATTGCGTCGTCGACTCGAATGTATGAAGGCTGGGGAGCGTTTGGCGCATCACAGGCCAAGCGGGTGCATGAAGGTTGTAGCAACGAAGGGAAAGGGGATGGAGGAGGTGGCGCGGTGTGACTAGAAGGGTGACACTGCAGGAAAATATTCTTAAGAGGCAAGTAAGGGGCGTCAAAAGGCTGTGTGTGAGCAGCTGAAGATGGGACAGCTTCGATGCAAGGACTGGGTAGAGGGGTGGTTGGTCCATATGCCACATGAGCTGCAAGCAACTGAGGATGGCTCATTGCAGGAAGACAGGCCGAGGTGGAAGGGGACAGAGAGGCAGCAGCTGGAACACCGGTTGCAACAGCAGCAAGAGGAGAGCTGGTCGTAACGGGTGCAGAGGATGTGAGAGGAGCACAGGATGTAGCCCGAGCGCATGGCGATGCAGCAAGTGCTCGTGGTGATGTAGCAGGAGGGAAAGATGCTGCAGCTGATGAGCGGCTCAAAGGAGGAGTGAAGGATACAGCAGGAAGGGGAAGTGCAGCAGGAGCAGGAGCACAGGTCGTAGCAGCAGCAGAACAGGTGCAGGCTGTGGCAGCGCAGGCTGTAGCAGACGCGCAGACTGCAGCAGAAAATGATGCAGGAACGGGGGTCCATGCTGTAGCAGCAGGAGCAGGAGCAACCAGAGCGAGGGCTGGACCGGAAGGGCAGGCTGCAACAGCAGGGCTGGGGGAAATGGAGCGAAAGGGCCGGGTTGTAGAAGCATCAAGGGATGGCGGTGGGTGGTTGTGCGAGCCGTGGTATACTGTCCTCACCACCACACGCATCTCAGTCCTTGGCATCTCCACACTGCCTGTCTCCTCCTCAGCAGCTGCAACCGCCTCTCTGGAATTCAATGTTCTGGTACTAGCAGGGCCGGCTCTGAATGTGGCCTTTGAGTTGGTTGTGGTCCCAACGCCTTGATGCCTCTGCAATGCACCAGTTGCGCCTTGATGCCTCTGCAATGCACCAGTTGCGCCTTGATGCCTGTGTGAGGGAATGCTGGTTGAGCGGCGGTGCCGGGCCTCTCCAGCCACGCGGTCTTCCGTCTTCTTCGCCGTGCAGCCTGTCGCTTGCTTGGACGCGCACACGAAGTACAGCCTGCAGGGACCAAAGGGGTGAAGTAGGAGCAGAATGTGCTCAGTGCAAGTATTGGCAAGGCCATGACATGCAGCTACCTATGACATGCAGGAATCTATGTCATGCCGCAGGATCCATGACACGCCATGATGCTTGGAAGGGGATCACTGGTCATGTGAAAGGCCGACAGATCTGGGGGAGGCTCAGAAAGGAGCTAGAACATGATGGGATCTGTCCCACATTCGTTGTAAAATATCATCTTGTCAGTCTAAGAGGCAGCGTTGCTACCATACTAGCAACGATAAAATGATTATCAGTCCCACGGCGCGTGATAAAATGCGGGTCCAATGAGAACTAGTACACGGTGCGGCTTTGATTCACCTTTTCATCTGCTGACCCACGATGCGCTTGTGAGAAGTCTTTCTCCATTTGTAGCCCTCATGGTGCCGTTGCAGCTGCAGTTGCTGGGCCGCTGCCGCCTCAGGCTGTTGCGGCGGCGGCATGTCGGTCCGACTCGGAACCATGCAATCCTGGTTCAAGCCATTGACGTTGCGGATCGTCGCCGGCGTTGGTGAACGTCTTAACTCTACTACTTCAACAGCCGGCGAAGACCTAGTTGCGGCATCACCGTGATGCTGACCTTCATGTGCAAACTCTGAACCGGATCCTGCAGCCGGCGAAGACCTAAATGCAGGTTGCGGCGGCGCAGAATGCTCGCAGTAGTATTGCTGCTGCTCACATTGTTGCTGCTGTTCAACAGTAAGCTGCTCGTGCATCCGAGGACTAAAACTACTAGTAAGTTGGATGCTCGCACGTGGCATTGGTGCGTCGGAACTCGAAACGTCGGTTCTCATGGCGGCGACGTCACGTGTATGTGGCACATCTAGTAGTAAACAGAGAAAACTACTTTAACGACTCGTTGGATCTGTTTCTAATCTTGCCAAAATGGGGGGGGGGGGTGGGGGGGCGGGGGGGAAGAGTACCATGCTTTGATTGAGTAATGCAACGCGGCGCGCGCATCGTCGAGCACGCGGAGTCACGACTCACAATCAAGTTTGAGTCAAACAATCAACGTCGGCGACTTTCAACGGATTGGGAAGAGGGGTGCTGAAACGTGAAGCAGAAACCAGAATGGTTACAGTTGGGATGGACTGGAGTCTGGGCTGGCTTGGGATGGAGAATGGGTTCGGAGATCATGGTGGGGAGAGAAGTGAGATGGGTGTCTGGAAGGGTCGGTGGGAGATTTGGGGTGGCGGAGTGGGGGTTTGCTGGGGGAAGAAGAAGGGGGAGAGTTTCGCAATTCTCAACTCCCCCAACCAGCCAGCAACGCAGTTGGTGCTTGTGCTTGGAAATTTGAAGGTCGGATCTTAGTGCCGTGCAGAACCAGATAGCGATCTCCGAGGGCAAGGGGGAAGGATGGAGGGGAGCGAGAATGGAGAATGTGTATACAGTGGCATTGCCTAAATCAGGGTGGCATCACTGGCATGGCATGTCTGATCATGATTCTTGCCCACATATGTGACAATCAGGGTGTTTTTCTTCGGACATCCTGAAAAAAAGCCTGCTCTTTTGAATCTCTCACGGTCTAAATTATTTTTCAGTGTAACGTCAATTGTTAGGCTGGCAGAATATCGTGTCAATGAAAACTCAAGGGCTAAGAGCTGAGAAAAATTAACAAACAACAAAAAACGACAGAAACTTTTTATATTTTTCACAAATCAAACTGCAGCAGAAACAGACACCTTTCAAGATCCCCATATTCGTGTAAATATTTTTTTCCAACCCATAGGGTGCCTGTCGCATTCTACTCGAGACCCCCACACGGAGCACCTTTCACCCGCAACCCCCTTACCGCAACGGTGATTATTTATACTGCGAATTTTGATTAACGTGCGTGGAGGAATCCTGCAATCTCTCAAGTCTGCCTCTTTGCGCACCTCATATGCAGGGTGAATAGGGTCACAGCTCTATTCAAAATGGGGGTACATATTTCGGTAACGACAAGATAGGATATTCGAATGTGTTGTGAGGTGGACAAGTGGCGATACAAATGTTCTCTGATTAAGGCACCTGACATTCCAAGACCCTGATACTGATAACAACATTTACTCACATTTTCATATTGCTCGTCAATGTGCACCCTTACTGGCTTTGTTTTCGCCTATTTCGAACGCAATTTCAATTATGCGATATTCGCCAGCGAGCTTTGCGGATGTCGCGGCACGGTTTCAAGGGAGGGCCGTGACTGTGGAAAGCAGCGCCATGTCGACAGCATCGAATTTTGAAGTGCATGGTAACCAAGCGCACTCATGCCAAACGACAATTCCAGCTCACTCCACAAGAATGTGAAACTCGTTCCGACAGTACGACTATAAGGCTTTGAAGGGACAACGATTCATCTTGTGATGTGTGCCGTACGTAGGTAATGGAGCATCTGTAAAGTAGTGGACGAAACCACGAGGTTGGGAAGGCTTGTGAAGAAGCCACGGGGAACGAAGACACCTTGCGCCGCTATCGTCATCATCGGAAGTTGAATACAGACACCACCATGCCAAGCTAGACGTTGACGGAAAGAGGTCAACGGTCAGCAGTGACCTCGTTCTGTCATACTGTGCAGACAATAGAGACAGACAGACAGTCAACAAGTTTCTACCCTACACAACGCTAATCTAAAATATGCTGTAATTATATGCCTACCATTAGGCCAAAGATATGTCAACGGCTTCATTACACGCACATTACACTTATATGCCAACCACATCAGCTAGTGGCCACAACTGTATTGCCACAGTGTCGCGTCGAGTGTAGTTCGCAGAATGTCAGGGCAGCACTGAAACAGATACTGTACAGCCTGTATTGACGAGATGCCATTTATTACAGAAATGAACAGCCGACAAGTGCAGGCTTGATGTCGAACTTCCGACAACTGTGGTTTGCGACTGTTGCTTGGCCTCAGGCTTGGTGGAGAATGATTTCCGGCATTACGCCAACTCGGCTTCCGACAACGAACCTTGTTCGCGATTAATGTTTCGTCGCCTAACGACGCAACGAAGCGAAAGCGAGGCAAAAACGAAAAGGTTACGTAATCAACTTTGAATCAACACTGTACATGCGACGCCTTGACCGCGTCTGATTGGTGGCTGGGGATCGGGACTGCAAAACTGCGGATGGTGCATTATGGGGGGGTGCGGTTGGGTCGTATGGGACCCCGAGCACGCCCAACTGGGTTTTTAGTTGAGCCCGCATTGTTACACCCTGTTTCTCGATGTTTGAACAATCGGGAGCCCCGGCTACAGTGCGCACGTGTGCTTGGATTCAGCGGGCTGGTGCTTGCAACCGAAATGCACTTCAGGAGAACGGTAGAGAACGGTTTATGTAAAAAACGTGCTTTTGAGTTCGGTTTAGTGCGGCAAAAGTGCTTATACGGTATGTTCTGGGACAACCCCAGCCGTCCCATCTGGCTCAATTCATCCACCCTGTAACACTCTACCCTGTCCCAGATTATTACATCCCACCCAATCCAGCCCCATTCCAGTCCATATTATATTAACCCTCATATCCCATCCCACGACACGCCACCCACCATCAACGTGTCAACATCATCCGGTTCCAACGTGTCAACATCATCCGGTTCCAACGTGTCAACCTCATCTGGTTCCAACGTATCAACTCCTCGCAGTTCTCACTGGCCCCGTCTTTCCCCAGCCCCACTGCTCCCACCTGCCCCTTTTCCATCGCCGCTCTCAGCTCCCCCATTTTTCCCAGCTGCTCCCAACTGCCCCTCCCACCGTCCGCTGCTCACAGGTCCCCCTTCTCTACTGTTGTTCTCAGCTCTACGCTGCTCTCAGCTTTCGCTACTTCTCCCCCCTTCTTGCCCTTCTCTCCCCACCATCTCACCCTTCACTTTCCACTGCTCTTGGCTCTGTCTCCCATCCAATCCCTCCAGCACCCACAGCAGTTGTGCCACATGACTCGCTCTGCCATGCAATCATGCTCCTCTTCGATTTTGACGCATTGATGTCAGTACAACCGGCTTGTCAATATGGCGAATGTCAGTGTGGCGCGAAATAGGGTGTACACCCTCTTTCGCGCCACACGGTCATTGGCCATATTGACGGACCGGCTGTACTGACATCAATGCGTCCAGAATGGTCCCAAAACATACCATATAAGCACAAATGCCGCACTCAACCGTACGCAAAAGCAAGTTTTCTTCCATAAAACGTTGTGTACCGTTCCTCCGGAGTGGATTTGCCCGCCACCTACCTGGGGTTCGGTTGCAAGCACCAGATCGCTAGGGTCCAAGCAACAGTACGCACTGTAGCCAGTGCTTCCCATTGTTAGTGTGGCGAGAGAGAGGGTGTACTGCAACTAAACGCCAAAAACGCAGAACTGTCGTTTCTGGCGCACACTTACTGCCCAGTTTTCGATCACAGCGCAGAGTTAGTGAGATTTCTACGCAGTAAAGTTTTGATTGGTCAATATGTCAACGGACCGACAAGTCCGCTTGGATTGACGGCTACCGAACTGTTTGCACATGAATTTTTGGCAGACAGAAATATATTACCCTCTCCGATGGCATGCTGTTTAGGGAGCATCAACCCTAAACACTGTGTTGAAACAACCGAAAGGTTATATAAAGCATTCCCGAAGCTACTCCATTGTACCAGTACCGCAATAGCTCATATAGAGCATGCGGAATGTCGAGGGTCACCCGAAGGTCAACCGTCTGAGGAAGTCAACGGTCGTGACCTTTGAAGATCCGGTAACCGCGCGACAGTTAATTCACTGCAACATGGTAACTGTCGAAGATAGCAATAGTCGCGGTTACTGTAGCTATGCAATACAGTTAATAAGGGAATGTACCCCTCAGAGTACATGGCTAGCTAGATTTCTATTTAATCTCTTGTACTCCTATCTTTCAATCATCTTGTTCTCTTTCAATTATTATTCAACAAGGTCACTACAGAGACTTCTTTGTCTCCTCTCAGACTTAACAGATCCTATTCTATCTACTGGATCCTTTGTTGTATCGGCATGGTATGAGAGCTAGAGTGGATTATAGGATCCGTCAAAGTCTCCGTTCTTCTCAGAACAATCCCTTTATAAAGTTATTCATTACACCTCAAAGTCTGCAATACTATGGCTCCTGAAGGAAAAGCTACTGCAGACTCACCGGGCCCACCACCAGCAACGACTAACGCGCCATCAGCGGTGACCTCCGTCAGCGCCGCTGTTGTTGAGGAGCTAGTCGCACGCATCAACGCCCTTGAAAGCCATCAAGCAATGAGCATTGACGGCTCAAGCTACGCACGTGGCGTTGCTGGACTTCCTCTTCCTAGAGAAGACCGCCGCGTCAACTCCGAGAGATCCTTCACCTTCGACAATCGTCAAGGGTCAGCTCCTGCACAAGACAACCCACATCACTCACAGTCAGACATCGCTTCAATGCAAACCAAATTTGTATTGACTTCAAACCCAACACGTCGCAGGATACCCTCCGCCTTGGCAACGACAGCGATGATGACGTGGTCGAAGTTACCAGCTTCCACGACTACGACCGCCTTCACTACGAAAAGTCTGACAAAACCGGTCTCCGCGTTCTCGGCTTCGCCATCGCTGTTCGCCACACCTCGCCCAAGGAACCAACCACCGTCCGCCAAGCTCTGTCTGGCCCCGACAGTGAAAAATGGAGAGCAGCCATGGCCGCCGAAATCGCGTCGCTGAAGAAACGTGGCACCTGGAAGCTAGTCCCTCGGTCATCGACAAAGGGAAGAAAAATTCTCAGCGGCAAATGGGTTTTTCGCATCAAAACTCTCGCAGATGGCTCGGTCGACAAGTACAAGGTGCGTTGGGTGGTGCGGGGATTTGAGCAAACGCACCTGGTGGATTTTACTCTCACCTACGCTCCAGTCGGCCGCCACACCTCGGTGCGCATTCTCCTCTGCATCGCCGCCATCAAACAGCGACCGCTCCGGCAAATCGACGTCGACAGCGCCTTCCTATACGCTCCCGTCGATGCCATAATCTTCGTCGAGCAGCCGCATGCATACGAAGAAAACGACGGCGCCGTGTACCTCCTCCAAAAATCCCTCTACGGAATCAAGCAGGCACCTCGTCTGTGGCAGCAGTACCTCCATTCCGTCCTACTTAAGCTCGACTTCACTCAGCTGCCGCACGACCTCGGAATGTACAGGCGGGAATCGCGTGGGAAATTCATCCTCCTCGTCGCCTACGTCGACGACCTTCTCTACACCGGCGACGACACGGAGCTGCTGGACCAGTTTGAGGCTGACATCAAGGAGAAGCTGGAGGTGACAGTAAACCACAACGTCACACAGTTTCTCGGCCTCAATGTGACTCAGTCCGCCTCCTCCATTCACCTCTCCGCCGCCAAGTACGCCGAAACACTCGCGAAGCGATTCGCCATCGCACCGATCAACCTCACCACCCCCTATCGCACTCCTCCTCCTAACCACGAGCCAGACACCACACCGCTCTCTCCCGACAACCATCATCTCTATCAGCAGCAGCTGGGATGTCTCCTGTTCGCCGACGTCACGTGCCGGCCCGATCTCTCCTACGTCGCAAGCCAGCTCGCACAGTACCTGAAGCGACCTGAAGGGGAGAATCTACAGGATCTACGCCGAGCACTACAGTACTTCATCTCCACCCCCGACGTCGGTCTCACCTACAAAGCTAACCTCACCGCTACTCTACAGCTCCATGGCTACGTAGATGCCGACCACGCTGGAGATGTTGACAACCGACGCTCCCGCACAGGATTTATTTTTCAACTCCAACCTGCGGGACTCATCTCCTGGAACTCTCAAAAGCAGGAACTCATCGCTCTTTCGTCAGTAGAAGCAGAATTCATCGCAGCTAGCGCAGCTGTTCGCGAAGGACTGTACCTGATGGAGCTCCTGCAAGAGGCGAAGGTGACGATGAACGGGCACTTCACGTTACTCTGCGACAATCAGAGCGCGATAAAGATCGCGAACAAGCCCGGCTTCGTCAACCGCACCAAGCACATCGCCCTTCGCTACTTCTTCGTGAAGGATGAAATCGACAAGGGGAGAGTCAAGCTGACATACTGCCCGACCGGTGACATGGCAGCTGATTTCCTGACAAAGAAGCAGCCACGTCAGCAGTACCAACACTGCGCCGACCTCTGCGGGATCACCAAGAAATCCCACGTGGCCCACCTTCAGGAATGAAGGGGAGTGTTGAAACCAGGGCTGACTTTATCAGACTAAAATAGTCTGATTGTCTGAAATCTCAGGGTATTTTCCTACGGATCCTGATTTTTCAGACTTGTAAGATTTTCAAACATGAGTGCCTCAGACTTACTTGGTTTTGGATCCTGAGATTTTCAGAGTACTGACTTAGCCGATAATGGGTCTTCATACTACAGGGAGTACGGATCCTGAAATGCGGATCTGTGATTTCTACGTACATTCCGCTACGTCATATGTTGCCAGTGTACGAACACACTTCATGGCGCTGTCACGCGCAGAATCTGTCCTTGGCAACTTTTGCCACCCTTTTCCCTTAGAAATCTGCCAACTTGGCTCACTCTTCCACTCACGCGGGACCATCACTGCAGCTACGCGGTGTCAGCGAGGGAAACTGGTTAGCGTTGCGCCCCACGTGCTACATTTGTGGCACTACTGTACTGCAGTGGTTGTAGTGTGTTCTGAGTACTTCAGACTTGTGTTTTTGCGGAACCTGAAAAATCAGAGTGGCCATTCTCTGGGAAATATGCCTCAGACTAAAAAATTTCAGATCCCCCAAAACATCAGACCGGATTTTTTTGAATAGTCAGCCCTGGTTGAAACAACCGAAAGGTTATATAAAGCATTCCCGGAGCTACTCCACTGTACCAGTACCGCAATAGCTTATATAGAGCATGCGGAATGTCGAGGGTCACCCGAAGGTCAACCGTCTGAGGAAGTCAACGGTCGTGACCTTTGACGATCCAGTAACCGCGCGACAGTTAATTCACTGCAACATGGTAACTGTCGAGGATAGCAATAGTCGCGGTTACTGTAGCTATGCAATACAGTTAATAAGGGAATGTACCCCTCAGAGTACATGGCTAGCTAGATTTCTATTTAATCTCTTGTACTCTTATCTTTCAATCATCTTGTTCTCTTTCAATTATTATTCAACAAGGTCACTACAGAAACTTCTTTGTCTCCTCTCAGACTTAACAGATCCTATTCTATCTACTGGATCCTTTGTTGTATCGGCACACTGGGCGGAATTGTTTAGGGAGCATCAACCCTAAACATTGGGCGAAAGTGTTTCGGGTTGATGCCCTTTGCGACAGGTTTCATATATATATATATATATATATATATATATATATTTATTGCTGCCATCGATGGAGGAGGCATCAACCCTAAACACTATGCGAATGGGTGTTCAGGATTGATGCTCTCTCTATATGGGCTTGAAAAATGTTTAACATAGACTGGGTTAAACTGTTTTCTCTTACACAGTGGGCTTGTCGTTTTCGAAGATTTCGACCAATGAGCGTCGAGCTGCGTAGAAATCGCACTAACTCTGCGCTGTAATCGGAAACTGGGCAGTAACCCTGCCCCAGAAGCGATGGAAATGCGCATTTGGCTTGCAGTTTCGAAAGCCGTGCTTTGTCAACTGAAAACCCCGCCCAACTTCACCGGATTCCTGAGGGTTGCGATCAGGGGGTGATTATGTAAAACAGCATGATGCACCCCGCCCAAAGGATGTGCGCAACTACACCCCCCAACACAGCAATACCTTCCTGGTTCATCACGAATACGAAAATAGGCAGATCTAGCACAATGACATGTCGATGGTTGTGCAGTACTATAATTACCATGTAAATGTATTACATGCTATATTACAAGAAGGATGCGAGTTTTGCGCAGTGAATGTGCTCCACAGTGGTAATCGCAATCCAACAGTCATCATGCACGGCAATCATGGCGCCCACAGCATATGATTAGCAGTCGCATGATTGCCTGGACACATGTGTAGCATCATAAAATGACGTGTGGAGGTATGGAGAGGCCAAGGAAGTGTGAATTGGCTGCCGTGACTGCCTTGCGGTGGCCAGCATACTCCCAATCGACAAGGACAGTGGGAGAAAGAGTGAGAGTGGATGAGCCCGCAAGAGGGTGGGTAGGAGTGACGGCGAGATGACCTGGCTGGTCACAGGGAGATATCCGGCGGGAGGGAAGGTGCGAGGATGTGCAGATTGGCAGACATGACAGCCATGGCTAGAAACATGGCCAGCACGCCCTGCGATGGCTTTGCCCAAGAAACTGCAATGGCCCATGGGATGGCTTTCTATGGTGCTCTAGATAAAGCACTGCCATGCAACGGCGGCCCCTGGAAGCTTGGGGTAGAAAATGACCACGCAGAGATCAGTGGCTGGTCACAGGGGGTGTTCCAGGGTGGGCCACAAGGGGGTCTATAGCTGGTCACAGCGAAATGTCTGGCGGGAGAGAGAGTGCGAGGAGGTGCAGGTTGGCGGACATGACCGCCATGCCCAGGAACATGGCCTGCACTGCCCTGCGATGGCCCGCGTACTCAAAGGCGAGAGGCAGCATCTCGTGCAGCACTAGGAACGCCATGATGCCACCCACTGCATGCACAGGGATGCAGAGACATGTACAAAGATCCGACAGAGGAGGTCTTAGCACGGTGTGAACAGCACTGGCAGCACAAGGAGAGGCATCTCATGCAACCAGAGGACCACCGTGATGTCGCCCACTGCATGCACAGAGATGCAGAGGAATGCAGAGCGGTGCAGAGAAATGGAGTGGGATGGGGAGGGATGGAGCGGACGCACAAGCCAGCACAGTCATTGCGAGCAGAGTGAAAGAGGCAGCACAAGCACCATGCCAGCACAGACAGCACAACTGGGAAAACCAGCACTGCAAAAGAGAGCAGAGACGTACCACCGGCAAGCAGCCCTTCGATAATATCCGGGGCGAGGGAGGCCGGGAAGAAGAGGGCCACAAAGACGACCCCCAGGGGCTCCGCAGCCCCCGATAGAGCCGCGGCTCGGAAGGCCACCCAACCGCTTCCCAAAAAGGGGAGAAGAGAAGAACACGTACCGCCAGCAAGAAGTCCCTCAATGAGGTCCGGGGCGAGTGAGGCGGGGAAGAAGAGAGCCACAAAGACCACCCCCAGGGGCTCCGCAGCCCCTGAAAGAGCCTCGGCTCGGAAGGCCGCCCAGAGGCTGCCCGAAAAGGGGAGGAGAGAGAGCAGAGCACGTACCGCCAGCAAGCAGCCCTTCAATAATATCCGGGGCGAGCGAGGCCGGGAAGAAGAGAGCCACGAAGATGACCCCCAGGGGCTCTGCAGCCCCCGAAAGAGCCGCGGCTCGGAAGGCGGCCCAGCGGCTGCGCGTGCCGAAGTAGATAGGGAGGGCGACTGCTAGGCCCTCTGGGATGTTGTGTAGCGCGATGGCCACTGCCAGGCTGATTCCCACCCGCAGACCCTGAGAGGAGGAGGAGGAGGAGGGGAGATGGGAAGCAAAGGGGGAACGTGTCAAGTAGATGGGGAGGGCGACTGCGAGGCCCTCTGGGATGTTGTGTAAAGCGATTGCTACTGCCAGGCTGATGCCCACTCTTAGGCCCTGAGAGGAGGAGGAGCGGGGTGAGGGGAAGCAAAGGGGGAATGTGTTCAAGCAGATGGGGAGGGCGACGGCGCGGCCCTCTGGGATGTTGTGTAGCGCTGTGGCCACCGCTAGGCTGATTCCACTCGCAGGCCCTGAAGGGAGGAGAGGGGGGAGGGTAAGGAGGGAAACAGGTGGGCATAGAAAACGAGGTAAGAAGTGAAGGGCCTGAAAAGGGTGGAAGGATGAGGGAGAAGAAAGGGTACTACAGAAGCCAGACCACCAGTATCTCCTATCCGACCCAATTCTCCCCCTGACCTCACAAAATCCCCCTAACACTAGTACCTCCAGTAACCCCCGTACCCCTTTCCACTCCTCCCCACCTTCATGGACCCCAGGAACACGGCGATGCCCTCAGGGAAATTATACAGGCTGATGCCAAGAGCCTTGATCACCCCACTCCACAGCACTGCCCCCCACCTTCATACACCAGTCACAACACCTCTCCACTCCTCCTCACCTTCATGGAGCCAAGAAACACAGCGATGCCTTCTGGGAAGTTGTGCAGGCTGATGCCCAAGGCTGTGATCACTCCACTCCACAGCACTGCTTGCCGCCGCCTCTGCATCTCCCGCTCCCCCACCTCCCTTTCCGCAACCCCCCCATCTCGCTCCTCCCTCCCTGCCAACCCCCTCTCTCGCTGCTCCCTCTCCCCCCTACTCCACACTCCCTTTCCCTGCTCCATATTCTCTCCACGAGGTATTTGAAAGCTATCAAATATCATCTTCTCCCTATTCCCATCCCTTGCTCCTCTTGCGACCGTCCCACCCTTTAATCTCCGTCTATCCCCCCCCTCTCCTTCCACCCCTCTCCCTCCGCCCTCACCCACGTGAGCACCATCAGTATTCCCACTCCCCACACCATCACGGCTATCCCACTCGCTGCTTTTGATCCCACTAAGCCAATGCTCCACACGACTGTCTCTCTCGCTGTCCGAGCCTGAGCCTCGGACCAGGTTCGGGTGCTCCGCCGAGCCAGCTCTTGGCGAACTTGAGGCTCGGTTCGGGTCCGAATCGGGGCTTTCCGAGCCTAAGGCTTGGGTGAGATCTAGGGACGAGAGGGAGGAAGGGAGGTAGAAGGAAGAGGAGGAGGAGGCGGAGGGGGAATTAAGTCGAGCTAGTGTTTGTTTTCGGATAAGAGGAGGTGGTGAGTCTGGTGGTGGTGGTGTCACTGTTGATGTCAGTGCTGCTGCTGCTGGTGCTGGTGGTACTGCTGCTGCTGTTGCTCCTGCTGGTGCTGTTGCAGCTGGTGCTACAGCTGATGGTTGAATAGGTTGATCTGTCCGTTGCCTCTCCGTGAATGGTTCGGACGTAGGTTGGGATGCAGGCTCGGGCGTAGATTCGGATACGGGGTCGGATGAGTATTGCAATAGAGGTTCGGACGATGGTTCGGGAGCTACAGAAGGCTCGGGCGCGAGGGAAGGCTCGGGAACAAAGTGTACAACCGTTGCAAATAGAAGCGCTCCTGCAAAGAACTGAGAGGCACCACGAGTAAGTGTGGGACAGAGGGGAAAATATCAGGAAAGAGAGGGGAGAGAGGGAGAATGAAGAGGAGAGAGCATGGGGGACAAGAGGGAAGAGAAAGAGGAGAGTGTATGGGAAGGGAGAGATTGCCAGGCGAGCATCACAGGAAAAGAGAATGGCAAAGAAGCTGCAGCGAAGGAGCCTTACCTCCACCCACACGCCCCAGTTTTTGGACCAGCAAGCAGAGAACGTACCCATAGGTTGGCAGCAGGAAAGCCGATGGCGTCAATGGCTTCTGGCACGAGATCGAAGAAGGTGAGGCTCAGCATGAGCCCGCTGGCAAAGCCCTGCATCGACAGACGGACGGAGGGGGTGGGTGGGTTTATGGTTGGGGGGAGATGGAGGGGAAGGGAAGGGAATGCGGAACGGCTTTGCACGAGACCAAAGAAGGTGAGGCTCAGCATGAGCCCGGCGGCAAAGGCCTGAGCCGATGGAGAATGAGGGGGAGAGGGGAAGAGGGGGAAGGGGCGAGAAAACGGGATACTGAAATCACCATAAGGGGTACGGGCACGAAGTGAAAGAGCATGAGAATCCGCATGGGGTGAAGAGCGAGGTGAGGTGAGGTGAGGTGGGGTGGGGTAAGGTGGGGTGAGGTGAGGTGAGGTGGGGTGAGGAGCGGTGAGGTGGGGTGAGGTGGGGTGAGGTGAGGTGAGGTGAGGTGAGGTAAGGTACGGTGAGGTGGGGTGCAGAAGGGTAGGCTGCAGGGTACCTGCAGGAGCCCAAGGCGCTTGATATCGGGTACGGCTTGCAGCACCACAAGAGCACCGCCTGGTGGGAAGAGGTGGGAGGGGGTGGGACGGGGTGGGAGGGGGTGGAGGGGGTGGGAGGTGTGAGGAGGTGACAGGAGGTGAGAGGTGACAGGAGGTGAGAGGAGGTGGGAGGAGGTGAGAGGAGATGGGAGGTGAGAAGAGGATATGGCAGGAGATTGAAGGAGATGGGTGGGCAGGGGATTCAAGGATGGGGGTTTCCGCAGGGGAACTCCCAATCTCGTGCGAACAATCTCGTTATGAACAATTCCCGTCCTCAACTCCCAAGGAGATTGGTCGTGCAAGCGATGCCAAATCGAGGCGACAGCTTGGTGGTGTTTTGAGGCGCCTCAAAATACACATCAAAGCTTGGTGGTGCCTCGACTGAAGAGTTTACAATGTTACGGAGGGTGAGAGAACCCAACGACTCACCAAGAGCCGTGCTCAGGCTGCCCACGAGAGTGAGAGCGAGGGCGATGCCGACTTGAGGCGACAGCCCGATGCCAAACCCCATGGACGGAAGGCCTGCCAGCACAGACGTAATGGACGCCATAACCGATTCTGCTGCTGCTGTTGCTGCTGTTGTTGTGTGTGGGGTTGCGGCTGCCAAAGTGTCAGCTGCTGCTGCGGCTCCAGTCACGGCTGCACCAACTGTGTCTGCAGCCGTGTGTCCCACTTGTAACGCGCCCAGTTGTAACGCGCCCAATTGGGATGCTTCCGGTTGAATCGCTGCGAGCGCTGCCGCTGGAGTTGCTGCCGCTGCTGTGAGCGCCACCGATGCCGCAAGCAGCAGTGTTCCCCCTGCTGACGTCGCACGAGCAGATGCTGCTGCTGCTGCTGCTACTACTGTTTGAGGCGGTGGTGCTGGTGGTGGTGGCGGTGCTGGTGGTGGTGGCGGTGCTGGTGGCGGTGCTGGTGGTGGTGGCGGTGCTGGTGGTGGTGGCGGTGCTGGTGGTGGTGGCGGTGCTGGTGGTGGTGGCGGTGCTGGCGGCCCTCTTTCTGACCGTGCTGCCTTCACGGACTTCGAAACTACTTGCTTGCCGGAATGCTCTCTTGAGTTTCTCAAATGGGTCGTAGACAGCGAGGACGTGAATTTGACGAGCGGATCCAAACGGCAGACCGGCTGAATGAGACCCGATTGACGGCTAGACGTCACGCCAGGCCGGCACACCTGCGGACGAAGGAGTTGGCGGGAAACAAACGCTGCTGGTAAATCTCCTGGGAAACAAGTGCGGGAAACAGTGTCTTGGTAATTGGTACCGTGCTACGTGTTTTGAGCCGACTCAAAACACGACTCATTACACACACGGAGCCACTACCGTGCTACCAGGTACTACAGAAAAGAAATCGCGCAGTGGGGAAAGCTCAATCACGCACAGCAGTCCCGTTTGGGAGTTCTCCGTTCGTGCTCGAGGGTACCACCTCGAAGCGCAGTGCGATGCTCACGCACACGCAACCGCAGTGGAGAAGTCAGTCACTTGTTAAATGGTTTTTGCTCACTCTCGAATTCAAAAAACGATTGCTTGAATCTCTGGTTGCGGAGCTCACTCACACACAGCAGCAGCAATAGCGCGACTTCAGATACTTCTTCACGGCAACCGCCGTGAGACCATCGTTCGCGCTCATCAAGCTGCGGCGTTTCCGCTAACGATGCTGTTCAAGAAAATACTGAAATGGCTCTGCCTAATTCACGACCACAATCAAGACGATATGAAGGTTGAATGCAAACTCGACGAGCCGCCAGTAGAGAAATGAGTCGCCTTGATGTTTCTGCCCCCAAAATTGAACGCAATCTATCGAGTACGCAGCGACGCTTAGCGAATAACTACGTTTTAGAGTTATGTAACGGCTCAGCGACGCTTGTCGACGAATAGGCAAGTACCTGATTTCGAGAACGAAGCGTAGATTGGCAGCTGGAGCAAACACGTGTCAATTCGTGACAGGAGTGGCCGCTGAAGCAGCTTCGGGCCATGGACGACCGGAGAAGCAGGAGTAATTGACAGGAAGGGTCATTCGGCCATGGCTCTAACGATTTTTTTTGTGATTCGCAAATCAAGCTGAGAAACGGTCAGTGACCAATAAGGTAAGTCGTCCAGCTGTTTCTGGAATTTGCCTGCAGAATCGGTTCTCAACGGAGTCAAGAAGATGCGATAAAAAAATCGACGCGATGTCCGACGACTCGCCGGCACACCGAGTTCGTTTCCTCCCTCTGAGAATTGCCAACGTGGACGGCGAAAATAAACAGCACCGCGGAATTCTACAACAATGACGATTACTACGGCGGCGCGGAAATAGTAGGGACTGCGGAACCAGCACCGACAGGACTCAAGAGAATCACCCAAAGAAGACCAGATAATCTACGAGGGGTTTCAGGAAATGGAGTCGTGCATACTCCAGTCGTCGACAGGCGGCGTGAAATGCGATGTCTCAGGAGGAGGACTATTTACAAGCTGCTCGTCGTCCACTCACCACCACCACCCCTCTCCCCCCATGGAGCATCCCTTTCCATTATCTTCCCAAACGCGTTCCATGTGGTGTCACGTCATCTGATTGTAAACCTCTTCCTGCTAGATTTAACCTACTGAACCGCTCTGTCCCGTTCTGCATTCTTCACTTGAGCGCATTCTTCAATTGAGCGGATTCTTCACTGCCCCATTGGACTGTTCGAGGTGCGCAACCCTCACTCTCGTTTCCGCCTCTCCTCGCCCTCCTCCCCCTGACCCTCGCGCCTCTTGTTCATTCCTCCCGTAATCTTCCCCTCTTCCCCCCTCCCCCACACTCTCGCCCTTTCCCTCCCCGCCCCGCAAACCAGCCCACACGAGCAGCATGCCCGGTGGTCTGATGCCAGCCACAGCCCGCAACATCCAATCCCAAGGTGCTCCGTGATTGCGCTCCGCCAATCACAAGGTCCCGTTCAACCCGCGCGGTTCTCGAACATGTGATGAAGAATTCGTGGCGCGACGCATGCGGAAAAGAATCCGAATCGCATGGCTCGGAATCATGAGGGGTGGACTTGGATGAACGAGTGCTGAAACCTGCGTTACAGACTTACTCCCTGACTTGAAAACCGAACTCTATTTACTGGTGCATTACGAGAAAAATATAATATAGTTATCTATTGCCTAGCATCCATTTCATCATGCGCCCACTTCTCAACCACCCCTCTTGGTGTCCAATCGTCCTCTTTAGTCGCCAAATCATTTGCCAATAAAGCTCCTAACAACGCAGCCCTCAGTGCCTCGTCCCTATGCCGACCCACCATCGACCACACATGCCGAACCTGACGACCCTCCGGACCAGTGAGCTCCAGGTACGGCACGACCACCAGGTGCTTTGCAAAGAGTGGTGCAATGCGGTTGAGGCGGATTTGCTCCCACGTGGCTTCCTGTAAATGGCGGTTAGAAGGTTCCTCGTTATACCAAGTGTCCAAAAACTGAGGGCAGGGGAAACAGTCAAAAAATGGGGGGTGAGGGGAGGGGGAGGGGGTAGTGAAAGGGAAAGGAAGATAAAGGGAGAATATGTGAAGAGAAATGTGGCAAGGAAAACTATGGATTCATGTTGCCAGGTAGCAAGGTGAGAAACAACACTCATTGGGTAGGGTAAGAGCACCAGAGAGTTCTTTTCTGCAAGGGGAGGCAACGAAACGGCATGCATGCTATGCAGTCAGGCACGTGACAGGAACACCTGAAAAGGACCCTGACAGGCACCTGATGAGAGAAGCATACCTGGAGAGAGCGAGGAGGGGGTCGCTCTGGCGACATCATCTCCCCACCCACGTGTTTGAAGCAGTGTTTTGAGGCGTCTCACAACACTACTTCAAACACGCGATCAATCCTAGAGAAGCGCTGTACAGAGTGGAATGGGTTGGTGTATGTTTTGCTCCTAAGAAACAATACTGGGCACCAGTCGATCACCTTGAAAGTGAGGGGCGAGCGTCTCAGCAGCATAACCCCCGCATTGATTGACTCCAACGATGCTTTGAACAGAGCACCCGGGGAGCATCACTGGGGAGCCTTGAACAACTATATGAGCGTACCAGAGAGTGGGCGGAGCGCTCACCTTGAATGTAAGGGGCGAGCGTCTCAGCAGCATAACCCCCGCATTGATTGACTCCAACGATGCTTTGAACAGAGCACCCGGGGAGCATCACTGGGGAGCCTTGAACAACTATATGAGCATACCAGAGAGTGGGCGGGGCGCTCACCTTGAAGGTAAGGGGCGAGCGTCTCAGCAGCATAACCCCCGCATTGATTGACTCCAACGATGCTTTGAACAGAGCACCCGGGGAGCATCACTGGGGAGCCTTGAACAACTATATGAGCATACCAGAGAGTGGGCGGGGCGCTCACCTTGAAGGTAAGGGACGAGCGTCTCAGCAGCATAACCCCCGCATTGATTGACTCTAAGGAGGCATTGAACAGAGCAGCCGAGGCGCCATTCTCCTCCCCTGAATTCCGGGCGAACAGACCAATCAGCTCCTCCGAGGGCTCCTCTGCACATGGGGCAGCGGGTGATTGGCTGCAGGCTGCCACGTCAGCAGGAGGAGGATCCAGCAGGCCAATGGGGAACTGCGGCATCCACGTCTGATTGGTGAGCTCCATGCCGTAGCGATCCCTTATCCAGTTGAATGCTCCCTGGTGGTGTGCAGGTGGCAGTTGCGGGGAGATGGGAGGGAAAAAGGGAAACAGGCAGGGTAGAGAATCAGGCAAAGAAGCGGGTAGAGAATCAGGCAGAGATAGAGAAGCAGGCAGAGGAGCAGGCAGAGAAACCGGCAGTAAAACGGGCAGAAAAGCAGGCAACAAAGAGGGCAAAGAAGATGGCAGAGAAGATGGCAGAGAAGATGGCAGAAAAGATGGCAGAGAAGATGGCAGAAAAGATGGCAGAGAAATCAGGGACGAGGAAGGCAGCCTCTGGGTTGAGATACCGACCGTGAAGGGCAAGGCAGCGAGCCAGGCTTCAATGGGGCAGGCGGTGGTTGTCCATTCGGAAGTAGGCGTCCGAGTCGAGATAGAAGGCCCAGGCACAGCAGCATGAGAGTCGGTGAGCATTGACGCTGCCAGGGGGATGGGCAGGGTACTGACCGTGAAAGGCAGTCCTGCGAGCCAGGCTTCAATTGGAAGGCGGTGGTTGTCCATTCGGAAATAGGCGTCTGAGTCGAGATAGAAGGCCCAGGCACAGCAGCAGCGCAGCTGATCCCGAATGAACAGCAGCTGGAAGGCGAGGGGGGGGAAAGAAGGGTAAGGAGGAGGGAGGAACGGGAGGCAGAAAGAGGCAATGCTGGTGAGAGGCAAGTGGCACGAGCGTGAGGTTTGAGAAATAGGCGTTGACCCACTCACTCGTGAGGCAACAGCGCAGAGAAATAGGGTCAACGCCTATTTCTCAAACCCTGTGAGTCACGAGTGTGAGGTTTGAGAAATAGACGTTGACCCAGGCAAAGCAGCAACGCACTTGTTCCTGGAAGAACAGCAACTGAGAGCTTGTGGTTTCACGAGAGGAAAGGGGGCAAAGAGCAGGAAGGAAAGGGGGCGTTGGTGGTTTCACGAGTCGGCTACATTTGAGTCACTTTTGAGCAAAGAGGGGCTAGGTTGAGCGGCGTGGATCGAAACGAGCGACCTAAAAAACAGCCGTGTTTTGAGTCGACTGGAAACATGCATTGAAGAGTAGCGTTTAACGCAAACGTGCATTGAAGAGTAGCGTTTAACGCAAACATGCATTGAAGAGTAGTGTTTAACGCAAACATGCATTGAAGAGTAGCGTTTAACGCAAACATGCATTGAAGAGTAGTGTTTAACGCAAACATGCATTGAAGAGTAGTGTTTAACGCAAACATGCATTGAAGAGTAGTGTTTAACGCAAACATGCATTGAAGAGTAGTGTTTAACGCAAACATGCATAGGCTCTTCTCTGTACCTTCATGACAGAGAAACAGGCACTCATGCAGAGAAGAGTGATGCAAAGATGAATAAGAGCGAACGCTCAGATACGAAAGAAAAACATCCACCTGCTGCTGCATGCACTCACACAGACAGACCATGAGCCGCAATGGGTAGCGAGTCTCGTGGTGACTTTTGAGTCTCGCAGTGACTTTTGAGTCTCGCGGTGACTTTTGAGTCTCGCAGTGACTTTTGAGTCTCGCAGTGACTTTTGAGTCTCGCGGTGACTTTTGAGTCCACTCAAAAGTCACCTCACACACACCTTGAGCCACGATGGGTGGCGAGTGTCGTTGTATTCCCGTGTGTCCTGATTCACATAGTGGTAGCCATGACGGTTGGCATACAGCCTGGCAGCCATTGAACGGGGCGAAGAGAGGAAGATTGTTGAGACGCCTTTTAGGCCGTCTTAAACAGCTTGTGTGAATTGATTCACATAGAGTAGCCATGACGGCTGGCGTATAGCCTAGCAGCCATAGAAGGAGGGAGAAGGGAGCACGGGGGAAAGAGAGAGAGAGCGAGGAAGGGGTAAGAAGAGGGAGGAAGGGGGCGGGAGAAAGAGGAGGGACGTGCGGTTGGTGGGAGTGTGGTACACATCGGCGCATGGGGAGGGGTTGGAGAGAGGGGGACTCGCCGACTGATGGCCTTGGGACGCCATTCAGAACTTTTGAGAATTCTCAAAAGGGAGGCGATTCAGAACGGCATGGTGGACTCGTTCCTTTCAAATGAGACATACTGGATGGGCGCTGGGTGTCTCTAAAAAAAATGGCTAAACCAATTGAAAACACATATCATAACCCCCCCCCAACCTCCTCCCTCCCCCTTACCCCAACCTCCTCCCCCTTCCCGCAATCTCCTCCCCCTCTCCCCCAACCCTCTGAGAGAAAAGAAGCAAAACTGACTGGTTGATAGCCTTGGAGGCCATCCAGAAGGGCAGGGAGCGGCCGTTCCTCTCAAAGTAGTCGTAGCCTGCCGCCTCCACATAGTCCCTCGCCTGCCGGCTGTCGCTCTGCAGTATGCACCCAGGAAGATGCGACCTCCTGTCACCATTGACGTTCCCCACCACAGCACCAGCAGCACTATCCTTGCCACCAGCATGCCTGCCTTTGCCCCTGCCGCTGTTGCTCAACCTGCTGTCACTGTCGCTGCTGCTGCTGCTGCTGCTGCTGCTTTTGCTGGCACTGCTGCCACCAGTGCTGCTGGTACCACCTGCATCTGAATGGCAGTCAGGCGAGAGTAAGCCAGGGTGTGGCTCTGCGATTCAAAGGTGTCAGAAAGAAAACGGAAGGAACATGCGAGACAGCCTTTGAGATGCCCCTAAAATAGCCAGGGTGGAGTTGTAGTTTGGTTGGGTCATGGCGAAAGGCGAGAGAGAGTTTAGGATATTCTTTCTAGAATGTGCAGTGGACAGGCGGGCCTGCAATGGGAAAAGAATGGTCATTAAAGGGAGTCAACAGAGTAGCAAATGGTGCGTTAAAGAGGAAACCACGGAGAAAGAGAAAGGCAGTTACGATGCACAACTGTAAAAAAAATGTGGGAAAATGTGCTTGCTACATCGCATATTCATTCATCTGTGATGTGACGCATCCACGCACACGCAAGTGACTTTCTATGACGCATGCCATACCATACCATACCATACCATACCATACCATACCATACCATACCATATATTAATCGCTCCACCCTTTCAACAGCTGCTGAAACATGTGAAGCCCGAGCGTCCAGACGTGCTTTCAACAAGGACACTTCCTCCTGCATGCATACAGGTTGGAGAACAAGGGCGCAGAGGGGTACAGAACGGTTCAATGCATGACCAGTGGTTGGATTGATTGTACACGCTGCTGCGCATGAGAGTGGGTTGCTGCGCATGCGAGTGGGTTGCTGCGCATGAGAGTGAGCTGCTGCGCATGCTTAAGGCCTGAGAGTGAGTCATAAGAACTCAAAAGTCTGCGTGCATGTGCTAATGCTGCAATGCAGTTGCCTTCATGGAAACTGCCAGGAGCTAGTGTTGCAGTACAATGGGGTACAATGAGGGACAAGTCACCAGACTGAGTGCAGAAGGAAACCATTGGAGAGATTAAAGAGATAGTAATCACACTGTTCTGAAGTCACATGGGAAAAGAAGGAAGAACTGGAATGCGGGGAATCTGTAGCGTGGTAATGGGAGTAGGACATAGAGTGACAGGACGTACGGTTTAGGGATGTGAAGTCGTGAGTCAGGCACCGTCAAGAGAAACGAGGGAAAATGTGAAATTCGAGCATAACCGCTTTTAGAATTTTCAAGCAAAAAATTACCGCCAGTTGGGAGCGGCGCCGATGCAGCAAGGGAAGGCAAACGGCCAACGCAGCGACGCTTAGAACGGTGAGCGTGAGCGATCGCCATGAAAGCGAGGGCGAGGTGGTGACGGAGGAGGCGGAAGCGGTGGAGCTGGAGAGGGAGGAAAACGAAAGCGACGGAAGGGAGGAGGAGCGCGATGGGAGGGGTGAGGAGGACGGGGAGGAGGACGACGAGGGCTTAGGAGGCATCCAGGAAACCAGGGCCCCTCGAGGACCTCCGAGATCGCAGTTTCGGGATTCAATGGACGCGTGATCGCGAGATTGCGAGTGCGCGTTTGTTTCCTACGTAACGCATTGACGCATTGCACTTCACGCTGTGAGGGGTTGGTGATGGATGGGAGCCATGGTTGGGTTGATTGGTAGGTACTGGTAGTTCTAGTCTAGAATCGATAAGGGTGTGTCAGATCCTTCAAAACCTGTTTTGGCTGGTTATTTGTCGACCATTTGGTCGTCAAATTGTTTTCGCGAACGTCGACGCATTGGTCGAATTTTGGTCGACAAATTACGGCTGTGTTTGCAAATCTGACACGTTTAGTGGCTGATTTGCTGGCCGCTATCAGATGTGTCAGATTTGTTGGCCGGATTGCTGCGACGGGGTCGCAGATTTCGTAGCGATACAAGTAGCGATGACAACTATTGGCTGTCGTAAATTTGTTAGGTCGCAGGATTACTGCTGCATTGCCAAGTCGACATCTTGGCCGAATTCGAGTCGACTACATGTCGGATTGATGTCGACTTTTTGAAACGGCCATCAAATTTACGAAAAGTGGCCGGATGATGCGAGCTCGTCGAAAATATTTGCGACTGTCGCTAACGTGTTACTTTCGCCAAAACCGGCCAGTCGGATTAAGCCACTTTCGGATCTGACTCCCTAAGCATCAGCGCTCCACCTCCTATAGGGCTTGGTCTGCACGGTTGTAATGCTGAATTTTGTGGTATATTACATAAAATTTTCAAATGCATTACAACAAATTTCCCATTCGTCAATGCGTATGTGATGGCTTCAATCCATTCCTTCTGATGCTGTGTAATATGCAGGTTTACTTGATAACGTCTTTTATATGTGCAATGCATAATCAGTTTCACTGTTCAGAAATTCGACATAAGCAACGAGTCACCTAGAGTACTCATCGCGCCGCTATGCGTGCAGCTCGTCTTGTACATTCTTAGCACGTTATCACACGGTAGAATGCGGTATCAGCTTCGTACGTTATGACCGTTTTGAACCGTATGATGCTCCAGCGATACCACTATACACCTATCGATTTCAAGCAGTCGAGGACAACAACACCATTCAAAGCAGCGCCGACAACCTCTGCAATTATCGAAGCGCAGATTGAACACATGAACGTCAGTTGGCTGGCTCGGAAACGGAGTGGATGTGTGAGGCAGGGTTGCTCATAGGCGCCCATTGGACATGAACGTCAGTCCAAGTAGCACCGCAGACATGAACGTCTGAGAATCGCATTCGCATGTTAGTTGTTGAAATGCCGGGCGCTCCCCGCCGAGACGTCGCTCTACAGCCGTGACGCAACGCGACGCGACAACCACGAAGCTTCTCATCATGGCCTATCGTGGGTTCTGCAGCGCGCGTTGTCGTTATGTTCTGTATCAAGCAGTACGAAGTCATGCTGATAGGCATCAAATATGCCAGCTGCTCAATCCATGCCAAAGAGACTTATTACCGCTGATACTACAAGTACGAAAACTGCTGTCAGCGACAAATCTTGTCGTCCCCCAGCCATGGAAAAAGTCCCCAGTTCCCTGCTGCTCGCTCTCTCGATGGTGCTCGTCTGGCTCTCGTCGTTCCCCCCCGCATTCGCGGGCCGGGTGCACGTCGCTCTCACGCGACAGGCTCACGAGCAGTACCTACGTCAGCGACAGCTGAGCGACCGTGAGCGAAAACTGACCGACGTCGTCGACCGCGGCTCTGAGCCTCCGCTGCACATGTTCGAATCAAAAGCAAGCTTCGAAGAGGAGCGTCGCGAAGAGGGACAACAGGGAGGCAAGCTGGACGATTTGTTAGCCACTCCCATCAAATACCACGGTGGTCCCGTGCTGAGCGGCGAGACGTTGAATATATACCTAATATACTACGGTTACTGGCCAGCAAAAATCGGACAGAATGTGATCGAGAATTTTATTCAGTCGCTGAGTCTAAATGGCTCCGATGCTCAGGGGGGAGCCGGGGATCCGAAAGTGAGCAACTGGTGGGCGACGAGATCAAAGTACTACTCGAATTCATCTGACGGGTCTACGGAAACCGTCAGCAAGGAGGTATGTCGAATGTTACAAAATCGGGCAAACAGAGCTCGGGCTCGCACATTCAAATGTTCCATGGTTGCAAATGACGGTGTGGCTAAAAAAAAAAAATCCGAACTTTGAGCGCGCTATAGTAGAGCTCAGTGCTGGCGATGAAGCAACAGTTTCCGACGGGAAATTTACGGGAATTATCTCAAGTCCGCCCCCATGGCTTTCGCAGGTGAAGCTGGCAAAGGTAGTCTACGACCAAGGGTCTCAAGGGAAGAAGTTTGACTACAACACTCCCTGGAAAGGTGTGATTTCGTTTACAGCAGAAATTTCTTTCTTTTTGTTACAAATACACGCATCCCAATCATTTGCCGAGACCACGTTGTACCTACTTCTGCACTGACTTGTTACCTTACTCAGGATCATATTAATCGCGTGCCCCTCTTCAATCATCACAGTTGTCATGAGCAAGATTGGCGACGGAAAACCGTTCCCCTACGACGCCAATGGCATCTACATGGTTCTCACCGGCAATAACGTGGACAATTCTGGCTTTTGCAAGAAATTCTGCGGGTGGCACACGATGAATCGTCTCGGCGGATCGAAGCCTGTCGCGTATGCTCTCGTGGGTCATCACGGATTATGCCCGGAAAAGTGCGGGGCGAAGCCGACTTCGCCCAACGGAAAGCCCTGGCTCGACGCGATGGTTTCGACTGTCGCTCACGAGATCGCGGAGGCTGCGACGGATCCTGATTCCAGCAGCGGCTGGATGGACTCTAAACGGGAGGAAAACGCGGATAAGTGCAGCTACAACTACGGAGTTACGCTAACAGTTCAGAACGAAAAGGGTGAGGATGCAGAGTACAACCTCGTGGGGCTCAACAACATGAAGTTCCTGGTGCAGCAGAACTGGGACGTAACGACGGGCGCGTGCGTACCCCAGACGACGTCGTAGGGGATGCATGGAATGAATAGCGAAGCTTTGAGATGAAGGTGACGAGAAGAAATGCTCGTCTGCAAGGGGGTGGGAGGTATAACCACGCTGCTGCGCGGACGAATAAGGGCAGGAGTGTACGACAAAAGGCCCAACATTAGCTGCTTATGTTCAAACTTTTATTAATAATTTCTCTTCAAGCTAGCTGGTTTCCAGCGGTTGCCTTTTAACAAGAAATAAAAGGATTTCACTAATGGGTCAACCTATTACAGTTGTGAGAGAAGGCATGAGAGAAACACGGAAACGATAAATCCGCGAACTAGACGGCTGGGATGCAGAGCTAGCAGCGACGTCCTGAATCTTCCACCGACGTGGCCTTATATTGTAGTACTTGGTTTGGCAAACGATGGCACGCGATGCTACTAAGGATTGATGTGCATCATTGTCAAATGATATAATTGTTGTTCGGCTTGAGTGAGGTACTTCATAGAGAGTACAACACAGTTAGGGTTCCATATTTGTATCACCTTCCTTTCATTAAGGGAGATTTACTGTTCATTCCGAACAGTACTTTCCAACTCACCCTTATCCTTATCTTCCTTGATTTCCTAGTGCCACGTGGCACTCTACCTTTCTTGCCTTCAATTCCTTGTCCCACAACCTACTTTCCAACCTTGTTTCTTTCATGCTATATCTACCTTGCTTATATTCCCCAATATCAATCAATTCTCATTCAACTCTTCTTCAATTACTCAGTAACTTCTTCGCCTATTTCGCTAATAAAATCTTTCGCCAAAGTCTTCCGCATCCTCGACTTAGTCGACCCCGCTAATCTTTAGCGGACCTAGGCCGTCGGGCCTAACACTTGGTATCAGGAGCCTTCGTGGGGAGAGACTTCCAACGAGCGACCGTCGACGACGAGACTACGACGTCATCGTCCCGCGGTGCCGACTTGCAGACTTGGAGTCGTCGATCCAACATGGACGAGACCATGAACGCTCTCCCCAACGACATGGGCAACACGCTTGCTCAACTCATGCGCCAACTCGAACAGTTGACGTTGGAAAATCGTCAGGTACGGGCTGAAATGCAACAGCTTCGTGAATTCGCAATTTCTCATGGTCATGCCGCACCATTTCCTGCACCCAACACGTCGACTGGCGCGGAAGCGCTGCCGGAACGTCGAAGCGCGCTCAAGCCGCAGAAGCCCGGGCCGTTCGACCCAAGCCAACGCGACGCGAACGTGCGGGCGTGGATCTTCATGCTCAACAACTACTTCGCCGCGAGCGGGGTGCAAGAGGCGGACGCGCAGCAGCGGATCGAGTACTCCGTTACGCTGCTGAGGGGCCCGGCCTTGGAGTGGTGGCGCCAACTCACGCAGCCGGGCTCAGACAGACGGGCATCAACAGAGCGTGGGGCATGCAGCTGCAACTTCGAGCTTAGGGAGTTTAGCTTTAGGTGTTACCACGGTTCCGACGACATGGGAAGGATTTGAAGCGGCGCTGAAAAGTAGGTTCGATTTGGTGAATGCCTCCGAAGCTGCTAGGAAGCGTCTGCGTCATTTCCGACAGATAAGAAACGTCCAGGAGTACACACGAAGGTTCTTGAGCATCTGCAACGAAATAGACGACATCACGGAAGCAGAGATGCGCGATTGCTACCTCGAAGGGTTGAAGCCGGACATAGCGGAAGTTATAGCGATTCACTGGTTGTCCACCTTCGAGTCAGTTGTCGCAGCCGCAGAACGCGTCGACGCAGTACGAAGCCGACGGGGTCGTGACGATCGCAATAGGGGATACAACAGACCGATCAACGACGCTCGATCGAGGGACGGACCGTCGCCCATGGAGATTGGTGCAGTTAACAGTGACGGCTCACAGAAGACGGGTTTTAGGGGGAACTGTCACTACTGCAAAAAGCCGGGACACATGAAGCGGGACTGCCCACAGCTTAAGGAGCGGCAGCAGGGAAACGGAGACCGCCAGTAGATAGCGGGTCGCTAGCTGGTGTGGACGCTTCCGAACCCGCCAAGTCTACCGACGTAGAGGAGACAGCTCTGGAACAGTCATCTACGCCGAACTCGGTAGACGCTGTTGATCGTCCAGTCGTGCTTCTAGGGAAGCTTCGCGGTGTTCTAGTCAAAATTCTTGTAGACAGTGGAGCTAGCCACTCGTTCGTCTCTTCTTCATTAGTTAGTCGTCTCCATCTTGAAGCAGATTCAGCAGTCAACTTCAAGGATGCTCGCATGGTAGATGGGACGCCGCTTCACATAGGACCGATCATCCGCAAGTTGCGCGTAGTGCTAGGACTGATCACAGTTAGGCGTGATTTCAACTCTGCGACGCTGGACGAATACGATTTTATCTTCGGGAGAGATTGGCTACGCACGGTTAGTACTCAGTTCGATTGGGCTCAGGGAAGCTGCAGCGTCAAGGTAGATGGCGAGTTCCAGGAGCTGCCACAATGGAGCGATGCGGCCACATCCTCCACAACTATCATTAATGATGTTCGTGTGCGACAGTTAGTGAAGCGTGCGGCGCGGATCTTTGCGGTTTTCCTTGAGGAGGTGGAAGCTGAGGAGGGGAAAGGAGGGAGTGCAGCAGTTGGTGAGAAGGCGACTCTTCCTGCTGAGGTGAGTGCACTGTTAGCAGAGTTCGCAGACGTCTTCCCCGACGAATTGCCCCCAGGGTTGCCTCCCAGCCGAGCAGTAGACCATCGGATAGAGTTGGAGCCGGGAAGCAGACCAGTAGCGAAGCCGCAGTGAAGGTTGAGTCCAGCGGAGACAGAGGAGATGACGCAGCAGGTTAGGCACTTTCTCGCGCAGGGTTTCATACAGCCATCTAGATCGCCTTGGGTAGCACCGATCCTTTTCGCGCCTAAGAAAGACGGAGGGTTACGGATGTGCATAGATTAATGCGCACTGAACGCCGCCACCGTCAAGAATAGATTCCCAGTTCCGAGAGTACAGGATCTTCTCGATGCAGTGCAGGGTGCTAGAGTCTTCTCAAAGGTCGACCTCCGTTCGGGTTACCACCAGATTCGCGTAGTTCCAGAGGACCAGCACAAGACGGCGTTTCGTACGAAGCAGGGGTTGTACGAGTTTAGGGTTCTACCGTTCGGATTGACCAACACCCCAGCGACGTTTCAGCCTCTCCGAGTTCCTAGGTTCGTTCGTTGTAGTTTACCTAGACGACATTCTCATATTCTCCAAGACGAAAGAGGAGCACGTGCAGCACTTGCAGAAGGTCTTCGAGGTTTTACGGAGGGAGCAGCTGTACGCTAAGCAGTCGAAGTGCGAATTCTTTCTCCCTGAGGTCGAGTTCCTAGGACACGTCGTATCCGCTAGTGGCATTAGGACCGACCCGAAGAAGATCGCAGCAGTACAGGATTGGGTAGCACCGACCTCAGTCAAGGAGTTGCAGAGCTTTCTCGGATTTGCCAATTACTATCGTCGTTTCGTTCAGGGTTACGCATTGATCGCTAGTTCACTCACCGGCCTACTTCGGAAGGGCGTAGATTTCGATTGGGGTCCAGCGCAGCAGCAGGCGTTCGAGCAGATGAAGCGGTCGCTCACGTCTTCACCGACACTGTCGTACCCAGATCCCACTAGCCCATACGTTGTGGTGACCGACGCATCAGATCGGGCCATAGGAGCAGTGCTTCTTCAGGACCAGGGACGCGGGTTGCAGCCAATCGCGTACGAGTCGCGTAAGCTTAGGGGAGCGGAGTTGAACTATCCCATACACGACAAGGAGGCGCTCGCGATCATCCATGCGTATAAGGTGTGGAGGTGCGACCTAGAGGGGGCAGATAGTGTGATACGCACGGACCATTGCTCGCTTCGCTTTCTCAAGTCACAGCCGCAGCTGAGTCGTTGCCAGGCTAGATGGATGGAGTTCATGGAGGGGAGTTTCCACTACAGGATCGAGTATAAGCCAGGCGTGCGCAACCCAGCAGATCCGCTCACTCGCCCTAGTTGCCAGCTCGCTAGCCTTACAGTCACTGCCGGCCATCCACTTCTCACAGCACTCTTCGAGCACGGTTACACAGTAGGTCTCGACTTCACACCGCAGCCGCCCGCAAGAGCAGAGGTGCAGGGTAGTGTCTACATACGGAAGGGTACCACACGGATTTGAGTTCCAACCTACCGCCCTCTTCGACAACTTCTTCTCTCAGAGGCGCATGACGTAGTTAGTGCAGGGCATTTCGGAGCAGATAAGACGGCTAAGACGCTTAGTCGCACGTACTTCTGGCCAGGGCTTGCAGCAGACGTAGAGGATTACATTCGCTCGTGCGACACGTGTCAGCGTACGAAGTCCTCTCGCCAGCGCAAGGCAGGACTTTTGCAGCCGATTCCACCACCCGACCGCCCTTGGCAGGTAGTTACGATGGACTTCATCATGGCTTTACCGTGCACAGTTAGGGGTCACGACGCCATCTTCGTGGTAGTGGATAAGTTTTCTCGAGCAGCGCACTTCATCCCCACGCACGGCAAGGTCACAGCAGAGGAAGCCGCGACGCTGTTCGTTGATAACGTAGTCTGACTGCACGGGGTTCCAGATTCCATCATCTCAGACCGCGACCCTCGTTTCACTTCGAAGTTCTGGAAGCAGCTTTTCGCACTGTTTGGGACTCGCTTAGCCATGTCGTCTGCGTACCATCCAGAGACAGACGGACAGACCGAGCGTGTGAACCAGACCTTGGAGCAGATTCTTCGCAGCATCACGATGCACGACGCAGCCGCATGGGACAAGAAGCTGAGCATGGCCGAGTTCGCCTACAACAACACGCACCACTCGTCCACAGGCATGTCACCATTCTTTGCAATGTACGGTCAGCACCCCAATGTCCCCACTCGTGTCGATCTCACACCCACAGTCCCTCGTGCGGACAACTTCCACCAGCATCTCACCTTCATTCATGATCACGTGAGGAAGCACCTTGAGCTCGCAAATGCACGCATAGCATGAGAAGAAACGAGGAATGGAATGACTAAGGGAAAGTTGGGTACAAAATGCAAA